CCTATATCATTTATTTTATTTTATTATCTGTTTTTACATGTTATTTTTACTTATTTTTACTTTTTGTGATCTATTTAATTTGTTGTTATTTTTATAATAAATTTTTTGAGTGCTCCTTACACTATTGTATTAATATATTTTGCTTTGGCTTTATTGATACAATATCAGAAAGCACTCTGTTTTGCGGATATAATCGTGTGGGCTGAAGAAAAGATTATATCTTTTTTTTTCGGTTTTTTAGATAAAATTTCATCCCTTTTTTTTAAATTTAAACTGTTGTTTGTTATTTTTTTACTTATTATCCCCCCCCCCTTTTTTTCATATGTCTTTAATTTTTCTTAGTTTTATTCATAATTTTGAACTTATATATATATATATATATATATATATTTCCAATATTTCATGGATTCTTTCAACAAGATCAAAGACAAGTAAAATGAAATGAATTTATTTTCTACCAAAGCATCGAAATAAATTAAAATTCACTCGATAGCATTTGTTGACAATAAAAATTTGTTCTCGCGGAATAAATGTTTACTTACTCAAAGAAATTTAAGCAAGAGGAAGAAAAGATATGAATCTGTTTTGGAGTAAAAAACACAATGCAATCTGCAAATGATATACCATTGCTTTCAATATATAAACTTATGTCGTTTCAAACGAATAAAAATATTTTTTAAATTCGAAGTAAAGTAAATGAAGATGCAAGGAATGTTTCAAATTAGAGGATAGTTTGAAAACTTATTTCGATAGTTCGAAATACATCTAAGAACTAAGAACCTCAAGAAAATTATTAACAATTACAATTTAATTGATTTTTCTACTTATAATAATTTAGCTAATTTTCAAACCTAAAATTTAGTACTCTTAGCTGTTTTTACTACGATGCGAATCAGTTTGAAGGGATAAATAAACAATCTGCGCAGTAGAATATCAATTCTTTTTAATTTACTTCTGTTAAAATTCTGTTTACTATTTTTATTATCAAAGACACTTGATAGCTTGATCCATAAAATTCGAAAAGAAAAGAAGCACAATAGATCTTTGAAAAGCTTTGTTTCAAAACAAACGAGTTAAGATTGCATTGAAAGTCTTGTAAAGTTTCAATGTCAGTGTCAAGAGAAATATTTGAAAATAATTTTGTATTCGTAATAAGAATAAAATGTTCTGCACATCGTTTCAAAAGTTGGTAAATATTTACGAAAATGAGAATAATGAATTTTTAGTCGGTAAATGTTGAGATATGAACTTCATTTACCCAATAGAAAAATAAAGATTTACAATTTTATAATGGACAAATGAATGAAATATTATTTGCAGAATTAGAAACAAATTCGTAAACAGAATTTTCGGTGTTAAAATACGTGTTTCCAGAGAGGAAAATTACAGGTTTCCAGAGAGGACAAAGAAAAATGAACTTAATAATTTACATATTATTTCGAATGTAAGAAAAAATAATAAAATATCTTTCTTAGCTAAAAAGAAAAAAGATACAAGCTTCTTTGAAAAAAAATGAAAAAAAAAAAAAAAAACGATATACTATTCTATTAGACATTTCTAGAAAAAAATGGTTAAATGACAATTTATTTAATTGTTATTTTACCATATTCACACAAAACAGTCAAATAGCCATAAATAAAATGGTATTCAAACTGTTAACTGTGAGAGAAACCGTTCATTAATTGTTTTCACCTAATACGGTTAAAC